AATAAATCCACATTTGTACACATACTAATAACTCATCTTTATATATTATCTTAACTTTTTTATCACAGTACGTTTATGCCTTAAAAGTAATGATTCTATTGATGGCGATCATATCTATTTTATACAAATTGTTTTCCTTTTAGTGACGATATTTGTAAATTTTCAGCATAAGATTTGTATCTCATAATTCAGCCAATGTTAATTGATTCATCAATCATGTTAAATTAAATGCTTTAGAATACAACAATACATAACATAGTCATAAAGTAAACAGTGAAAAAAGCTTGATACATGATCATAATCGATTATTAATGAGTCACAAAATTATCACTAAGTTTTTGTAATATGACATTTATATATTTAAATAAAATTATAGAGATGCTGTATTGTACATCATTTCAGTAAAATGAATAGATTTTATAGAACTTTGAGCATTCATGTACAAAATTTTAAAGTAAATAGTGTTAATTTAACGGTACAAGAGAAAAGACTACATTTTTTGCTTATTACAATATACTTGCAGTAAAGTAAGAGAAAAGATTTCAAAAATGAAAAACAAAGTGTCTTCTAAAAAATTGTACGCGTCTTGGTTAAAGACTTCTATTAAGTAAGTAAAAAAATATCAATGAAAAGTAAATGTAATAAAAATTTACTATTAGTAGCAATTATAGGAATCCGGAAATTAGCTCCTCAAGAAACAGAGATTCCGAATTTTTTCAGCATATTTCCTTACATATTTATAGTAAGTTGAACATATTTAACGACTAAAGTATTTTTAATTTTGAACTTATTATATGAATTTCAGAGCCAATGGTTTCTGATTCAACTTTTGAGCTCACAAAACATACAAAATCAAATAGCCTATACTGTGCGTTCAGGCCAATTATTGTAATGGCACAATGTGTTGGACTTTTTCCAATGAGTGGTATATTTTCATCGGATGTCCAAAATTTAAAGTTAAAAAATTTCTATTTTAAATTTTTATTTTAAATCGCACAAAAATATTTTTGCAAGTTCATATTCGCTTATGATTTATGTCATAATTTAAATTTCTTGTAGAAGTATACTTGTTATTAAGGATAAATATTATTAAATTTTCTTTCAAGGTTCACGTGGAAAAGTTTCAAGATACTTTATTGGCTCTTAATGATCATAGGTTCTTGTTTTCTTACATTAAATAGTATTGAGCAGCTTACTTTAATTTCTATTAAACGAGAATCAGTAGGTAAAATAAAAAATAAATTCTATTTGAATTGTAGGCAATGAATTTTCGTTTGTAATTCGTGATACATACTACAATTACAGGAGAGATTGTTCGTGTCTGGTTATTTTCAAGTGGTATAATATTTTGTAACACGTCTACGTTAAGATGGATTCTTTTTTTAAACTTTTCACGACATTGGCCTGATTTAGCTGTATCGTGGGAAAAGATCAATCAAAAATTAGCGACAAGACGATTTGTGCAAGATACCACCTATGTCGGTCTAGCTTTGAAAATCAAGATTATAAGCATTATTTTTACAATAATGACGCTAGGTGACTATTCAGTATATTACTCGTGTGATAGAGTACTTTATCAAAGTTTTTTTTTTCCGCAAAATAGTACAGCATGTGATAGGTGTAAAGAACATGTTTTCACATCCGATGAAGTAATCGATGGCTTATTATACTTGTTCATGCTATTTTAAATAAATGTTTCAATTTTTACTGATTTAACGTAATTTTATTGTGTTGTTTCATAAATTATAGCTGCTCATAACAAACGCTACAGTTCAAATTGCGGTTAATTAATTTATACTAAACACAGGCAGCACCAAAATTGACTCTTGTAGCCATTATTAAATCAAAAATATTTTTTGTGTACAGATAAATAAATAAGTAAATTTTTTAAATAGTATTTAATTTTTTTTTAAAATTCTCAATTAATGAGACATATTGAGTTTGTTAGTTGACCATGTTCTGTATCTACTGTCTGATGTATGGTTTTCATTGAAATCCGGAGAAATTTCGCAGAACAGTAATCCGGTTTACACTTATCTAAGAAGACAGTTTCCTAATGTGCGTAAAATAATCGCATGAAATATATTTAAGCTTTAAACTATGAACTCAATAATACTAATATATTTTTTGAACTAAGATAAGTGTAAATAACATGTATGTGTACTGGCTGGGATTTTCGGCTAGAGCCATGAGTATACTAAGTAATTTATCATGGAATTTCGTTGATGTATTTATTATCGCTATAAGTATGGCTCTTACAGATCAATTTCGACAGTTGAATCGCAGAATTGATTTTTTCAAAGAAAAAGTATGGTGTTTTTAATTCCTTACTGATACATTGTATAAAATATTAATAAATTTGAAACTGAAATAAATTATTTATTGCTTAGGAAATTCCTGAGTCATTGTGGACTGAGGCTCGTATTGATTATAATCGTTTAGCTGAAATGACACGCTGCATAGATTTTCGGATTTCAGGCATCATACTCATATCTTTTTTTCTTGAATTTGTATTCTGTTTGTATTCAACTTCTCAATTCTCTTCAGTACTAAAAAATATAATTTATTACTTTTTATGCGTATTTGTGTATTATACGTACATTATGTGTGCTAAATTTTTTAGGCCCTTTCCCAGTACGATTCACACCTGCTATTTCTTTTTTTCTTTTGGATTTTTAATTTCAAGGGTTTTAACAGTTTCTATGAGTGCTGCAAGTATTCACGACGAATCACTTTTACCTGCTTACACCTTGTATAGTATTTCCAGCAAAAGTTACTCATCGGAGGTATAAAATCACATTTCTTAAAGTTTTTAAAATTTTGTGTATTTTTTAATGTATATAAACCAGTTTATTAATGAAGTATTGTAAAATACTAACTCAAAGAATATAGAAGCTTATAAAAGTCTACGATGACGTAGTTGACCGTGAAAAAAGTTGATCCCACCTTTCTGTGGTTGATAAATAGAACCAATATGTAAAGTAACTATAATTAAAAATATTACCATAAAATATTTTCTATTTCTTGATGCGGAAAATACAGCTCTACAAGCAACCATACTCGTTTAGTTGATAATGTAGTTCATCATGTAGTGTGTGCGCAAAGTTGTTGATTCTCTTATAAGTGTGAATAAGCAAGGTTATCTACAATTACATTAGTAGAGGGAAAAAACTACTGTATTACGCATAAATGTTATAAATTACTTTTAGAAACTAGACATGCAAAAGATTTAACCATGAGAGTTTATTCATACAACAGTGTGCGAAGTAACCACTTTGCGCACTAGTGACTACTTGGCCCCTTTGTACACTAGGGTAAGTGTACCTATCTCCGTGCTCTGCCCTATTACCGTGGATTTTGAAAAACTGATGATTACTTGCTCAAAATAAGAAATGTTTCATATAAAATAATTTTTCAATTTTAATAATCTAAAATGACGTTAATGTAGATGCAATTCAAACAGAAATATTTGTGTATATTTTGAGTAAATAATTATTTTCCACGGTATTTGGTACAACGCGCTCATTAACTGATTGTGTACGTATTTCCGCGGTGAGCGTACGTAAACATAACCCTATACATCCGCGGTAATACGTACACGGTAATAGGTACACAACCACGGTAATACCAGCATACCGTTTTTATTCGTTTTAAAAATATTCTACTGCAGTTTTAGCTTCATAAAATTTTTTTTAATATTCCGTAAGAGATTATGTAAGATTTAAAAAAAAAAGTATTCCAAAAAATTTTAGTATACCATTTTTTATGGTGCATTTAAGTTGGAATTTTCAGTACGTGCCACGGAGATAGGTACACTTACCCCTATGTATAAACTTTTGCATAAAAGTAAAAAAAAGCTAATGAAATTTTTTATTTCCACGTGACTATGATTGCTAATACTTCAAATAGACTCAAAGGTTTCTTATACAAGTTACAACAGATAACATAGGCTTAACTGTGTTGGGATTTTTTTCGATCACTCGAAGTCTAATACTCACAGTAAATATTAATTATAAGTTGTATTTATTTATTTTCTTAATAATACTTTATTCACAAAATGTTGTTTAAAAAGGTAGCCAGTACAATTGTTACTTATGAAGTAATCTTAACACAGGTTTATACTAATCAAACCAATCAACAAAGTATCAATACATAAATTTTAAAAGCGTGATTCAAGGATTTTGAGTACGTAATTTACTACCTAAAATATCTTTCATATTAAAATTAATATTGATGTTGTTTATTATTTTTAGAAATGTTTAGGATGAATTTATTTTCAAACTATTAGTGAAGTAAGTTTAGTTGTGAAATGCAATATGACTAACAACAATAGCTGTTTTGCGATACTTTAATGTTTGGCAATACAAGAGATAAATTAAAAAAAAATTACGATACATGTTTAAAGATATGTTAAAAAATTTTCGCTTCTTACTTCCTCGTATTTGTTACATACAACAATGATAACTACTTTAGTTTTAAATTGATATAATATTTTTATCTTGTAATACAATCTATTCATAAATATCATGTGACATTACAATAGGTTTTATGTAACTATAGCTATGCTTATAGAATTTGACATCCTATTAAATTTTAATCTATAAAATAATCTTAGCCACCGTTTATGCCTTTCCTGTCATCACAATAACAAGATGAATTTATTATGAAGGAGAATGTAAATGCCATTCATTTTGCATTCTGTTTCCGCAGTTTCTTTCAAACGTTGAAAAAATTGACAAGAAACTTTTAACGATAGAAGTAAAAATAAAAATAGAATAAAATTATTTAGAAAAGTTAACACACGTCTAATATAAAAAATTATGCAAAGTAAGTAAGTTTAATAGCAATTACTCGACTGATCCTAAATAGTAATTTACGAATACTTGATCTGCATTGAAAAATTTAAAGATACAGAATTTTTTCCAAGTACATGATACTTTTCTGGTTTTTCTGAAGTATATATTTATAAGCTTGGAATCATAATGAACATACTGTTTATCATGCCTATGGAATTTATTACAAAATGTATTAATGTGAGAAATTCGCAGTAGCAGAGTTTTTCTATGTAATACTTAAGAAATTATTTTACTTGGAAATTATTTTGATTATATTCAGACAGATACGTATTTATGACTACCCTCTGTGAAGTTAACATATAGTATCGTTTATTGTGTAAGCTTATGTCATTTTTTCGTGTGAAACTTATTTATTCATCCCTTCATTAAATTTAAAATATCAGTGGCAGATTTTTAAGGGAAATATTGATCAACATTTATTCTACACAGTTTTACTATTTTTAATTTGAGTGCGAGTGAACATGATATAAAAAAATATAAAAGTATTGTTTTTTTAAATCTAGGTTCAACTGCAACATCATCGAATTCTGATTTTATATCAATCAAAAATATGGATAGCTTACACATTGCCTTTAAACCTATTATTATTATGGCCCAATGTTTTGGACTTTTTCCAATCAACGGTGTTCTGTCAAACAATGCGAGCACCTTAAAGTGAAAAAATTTATTCATTATTACTCATACACTTAATAATTATTGATAATTTTTTTACAATTTAATTAAATGATACCACATATTATTACAGTAATTTTATTACATTAATCACATGTCATATGAAAGTATTTCAAAATTTTAATTCATAAAAAAAGTTTCTAAAAACTTATTTGTAGGTTTGTCTGGGTCAATAAAAAAATGCTGTATTTTTTTCTAAGTACAGTTGGTGTAATGGCTCTCACCTTGAATAGTATATACTTATTTATAAATTCTTCTGATATTACCAGCTCAGGTAATGAATATGTATAGAAAATACAATAACAAATATAAAATACTTAGAAATCAGATAATTATTATAGTACATACTTGAAACAAAATTAAATTATTAATAAAACTACAGGAGGACTCATCCGCTTTTGGTTACTAGGAGGGGGCATTATTTTCTTTTTCACCTCCATGTTACGATATATTCTGTCACTCCGATTAGCTTATCATTGGCCATACCTAATGATCACTTGGAATAAATTAGAAAGGAAATTACTGAATTCATGTAAAGTTCAGAGGATATACAATTTCAGCCTTGCTCGAAAGTTCAAAATTATCAGCATTTTACTCATGTCAACTGCCTTTGGTAAATAAAAAAATTTTACGTACTAAATATTTTTTAAATTTAAAGATAATTACCTTAATTTTTCATAACATTTATTTTTATAAACACTAATAATAAATACGTATCTTTATTAATACATAGCGGAACATTGTCTTTATTTACTGTCGGATGTATCTTATCTACTTGAATCTGAAAATAGCACCAAAAGCTCTGATATAATTGTAGCATACTTAGCTGAGCCATTCCCTTACGTTCGTAAGACAATTTGCTTTTAAAAATATTGATTCTTACTGAAAAAGCTAAATTTTTTCAGGTTAATAAAAATTTTGTCGTTAGTGCTTATAGTATGGGAATCAGTTTCAAAATAATTAATCTATTTTGCACATTTTCATGGAATTTCATAGATTTATTCATTATCCTTGTGAGTGTCGCTCTAACTGGACAATTTAGAAGATTAAAAATGAATCTATATCATTTTAATTACAAGGTAAAGTTACCTAAGCTTGAAAAAAATAATCAGTTGTGATATCAAAATATATAGTATTTGATTAATTTTAATAATTGTAAGTATTTATTAAATATTTACTGAACAATTTCAGGTGATGCCAGAATCCTGGTGGACTGAAATTAGAGATGATTTTAGTTGCTTAGCAGAAATGACACGATTAATTGATTCTCATATCTCTGGACTTATACTGCTATTCTTTTTTACAAACATTTATTTTATTTGTGTACAACTACTAAATTCTTTCAAGTAAGTATAAGGTAAATCATATTTAGATTATTTTGTTGTACTATATCATTTAAATAAATCTTTAATTTTTTTTAAAGTTCAACAAATGTATATTTTTTTAATGTTTTTGTATTAATTTTTGTAATTTTTTTTTTTTTAGTCAGTTTCTTTGGCAATACAAGAGATAAATTAAAAAAAAATTACGATACATGTTTAAAGATATGTTAAAAAATTTTCGCTTCTTACTTCCTCGTATTTGTTACATACAACAATGATAACTACTTTAGTTTTAAATTGATATAATATTTTTATCTTGTAATACAATCTATTCATAAATATCATGTGACATTACAATAGGTTTTATGTAACNAGTTTCCAAGTGTTCAACATACAGTTTATTTTGTCTTTTCCTTTGCTTTTTTGTTACTGAAGACTTTAATGGTATCTATGTACACTGCTGGATTACATAATGAAGTTCAATCATTTTGTCGTATTTTTTGTTACGTGCCCAAAGAAAATTACTACACTGCGGTATATTATTAAACATATTTACAGTGTCATTAATAATGTCAAAACATGTTGTAAAAAAATATTGTATACGTATACAGGTTCGAAGACTTAACATGCAAGTCACGAAAGATAATATAGGTTTTACTGGTATGAAATTTTTTCTCATTACACGCAGTGTAATATTAAAAGTAGGTCTTGAATTATAATATCAAATACGTGCACTAAATACTCACAGTTTTTAAAAAATATTAATTTAATTATGGTTTTCTAGATAGCTAGTACTATAATTACTTATGTAATAGTTTTGACACAAATATACTCCAATCAGATAGAGAAGCTGAAGCCCAATATTACGACTTCTGAAAACCTTGAGGGAGTTCTACCGGTAACAGAACTAACTACGAGAATTGAATAAAAATTTATTCGCGAGTAAAAAAAACCTCAAAGGTTATGCTATCAAAATTAAGGCACATCATGTTGTCGCAAGAGCCGAGATTACTCGTAGTATTTAGTCGGATTTTACGTCTTATGAAGTATTTTAATTAAGTACTTGTATTACGTTTATCTCATTCTTTCATAATTAAATTTTAATAAAAATTTTATCAAATCAGTGGTAAAAAAAAAATATCCAATAATCTTACATAATTTTATTCTACTTGACGACCATATTTGTTAGATACATACATGTATAATAAATCCACATTTGTACTATTTTCATACTGCAATATTTCAGTAACATAGAACATTTTTTTCAAATTTAAAATAGTTGTACTCTCATGTGTTTAAGTAAGGTTTGATTAAAAACTAAAATAAAAATTTGCTTTTATTAGTAATGCTTATCTCATTTTAATTATCAGCTGTCTATTGTCAGCTAATTTTATAACATTTCTTTTAAAGTTATTCCACTGGAAATAAGAATTTACTAATTGTTGAAGACAAATTAGGTTTGAAAACTTTTTAGAATGTACCTTTATCAGTTTGAATTTCATCAAAAAATATGAAAAACCAAATGTTTCTAGTAAAAATAATTCTAGTACAATACTGATAATGATTATGCAGTCCTTTAAACAAACGATGGTATTTAAATCTTAAGCTCGTAGTAATCAATAAAAAGTAACTGATACAAACACGCAACTTCGAGTAGTCAACCTTCAAATGTTAAATACTAGTTGAAAACAAACCTTTTATTACTGCTATTACGATTTCATCGATAAAAGTTATCTCTACGTAGCTTACACCAACAATAAACTAGTGTATTTGTATTAAAAAAAAGAAAATTGACTAGAAAGAACACCTTTCGAGGTAGAACTGGCGTATTGAAGAGATCTTACAATTAATGTTCATTTACAAATATATAAATAAATGTAATTTAAAAATACTAGAAAAAACGTTTCAAAAATATGTAAAGCAACTTTTTACTGTAAATATTTTTCAACCAATGGCAATGAAAAACAAGAAATTCTAAAGTCATATACAATTGAAAAATTTTACATCAGAATATTTATATAGTTTCAAATTTTATAATAATAACCGACTAATTTAATTGATAACATGGATTCGAAATCAGTATCTGGTAAGTTTCATTCAAGTCCACTAGTTTTGTCCATTGTATTTTTATGTTGTTTTTTTAAGAATTATTTGTTGTCATAAAATAAATAATATACATAGAAACAAAGTCACTTCATACAGAAAAACCTGTTAGAGATTTGTCTCACTGAAACTTTAATGCTTAGTGTGTAAAATCTAAAAAAAGTAATATGTTTTCATTTCCCTTGAAAGGAAATTACTGAA